ATTTTTTATGGGTTGGGTTGACAAAAGAGCAGACGGATTACCTGACGGTAAGCAGTTGGCGCCCGGCGCCACCCATGGAGACCCGCAACACCAAAGGAGTTACGAGCGGTTGCCGGTCTTCTAGGGGATTAAGGGTTTCAGATTTAAGGATTGGGCCTACGGTAACCTCATTCACACGACGAAATACAACGCCGCTGAGGGTGTTTCTCGCCGGTTTTCTCTGAGGCCGAGGTATCACTCCAGTCGCAAACCCATTCGTGCCGAAGCACGGCTCTTCCACACTTGATCATTCTGAATGTTTTGTCATAGAAATTAAATTGTTCGTTAAATTTATTGTTTACCGCAATAAAATAGAAAATTCTAAGCCTCACGGAAAGTATGCGCCAGCAATTAATCTTTAAGTGTTATTTCTTAACAAAATCCGTTTTGATTTAGAGAACCAGTCGCATACCAATTTTGTGTTAATTAATTAATATAGAATATAAAGGTTATTAACCCATTATAATTTGTATTTTATCTCAGGAAATATTTAATTAATTTCAAGATAAAATATTGAGTTATGATTTCATGTAAAACTTGTTTTCAACTGCGTCTTTATTGAAGTTGTAATAAAGGTCTTTTTAGGATATTGTCATAACAAAATAAAAGAGGTAACATTTACAAAAAACAAAATACAATTCATCGTTTAGAATACAATGAATGTAAGCTTAATTATGTTAATAAATTGTCTCCATAATATATATCTTTAGTAACTTCATTGCAGGTTTGTATGTAGTCATCTCATGATGATGATAGCATACGATAAATGTGAGTCGTGTATTGTTAAAACTAATGATTTTGACAAATATCACGTAATACAGGATCCAACACTACCTATATAAGGCAGGTTCATTATATAGAACTGTTTTCATAGGTATTCATGTCAAGTCCAAGAAACCCAGTGATTCATAATAATGCAAACAGTAAATGAACTTGGTTTTTGTACAAAATTAGGAATTTATCATTTGGCAATACGAGTATCCCGGAACAATTAAAAATTTTTTTTTTATTTGAAATGACATGTTAACCACACATCTTAATAAAACATATATATACCTACTGTGAATCAACGCTCGTGTTGTGTTTCGCTGTGAGACTTAAGATTGAAAGGTTACCGGAGGCCTAATCCCCCGCTCCACATCCTCAGACCTCTCAATCCTCAAACCCATGATATACATAGGCCAATAATGCTCTTGTTTACTGGTTTATCTGCTGGTGAAAAGCATGCTAGTTTGCCATCGTATCCCTTAAAAAAGTTTAGGATAATTTAAAGTGAAATAAAAATCTCTTAAGAAATTCTGACATATAAAAATAGAATCGGAGCACTAATGACCCAATTAATGTTACTAAGTATAAATTGTAAAGTTTTCATCCTTACTCGAAAACCTCAAAAATAAAACAAATAGGTACAATACAATGCCAATTAATCAGCATAAGGAATCCATCAAAATAACATTAAAAAAACGAGTACAAACGAGTTGAGAATAAAAATGGCTAAAAAAGTTTAACATTTTACTTTAATAGTGTAGGTAAACCTTTGTATGTCCTGTTATATACTTTCTCTCCATACATCAATATTTTAACGGAGTTGTGGTGTACACGTTTACAGTCATTTAAGGACATATGTTTAATGCTGGTAGTAGTTGGTTTTCCCATGACCTGAGAGCTATTTGTTGTATGCTCATGTTGCTTTTGGTTTTTGGTTTGGTTGATCGATCATTAGTGTTTCGGTTGTAGTTTAAGTGTGGGAGAGCCATGCTTCGGCAGGAATGGGCTGGCTCGACCTTAGTGACCACAGCCTCAGAGAAAACTGGCTTGAAGCAATACATACTTACGTTATGCTTCTCCTTGTAAGTGATGCTATGAGGCCAAATCCCCTATCTGTAAATCCTTAACAACCCACAAGAGGCCGGCAATGCAATATTGCGAGTGTCCACCGATTGCTTATCATCAGGTAATCCGCTTGCTCTTTTGCCGAAATATAACATAACAAAGTACTAGTAATTAGTTAAAGTTTATTTTTATATTTCATTTATCATAATTAGCTACAAGGCGTCCTTTTCTGAAAATTGCTGCCTAATGATTTCCAGATCAGCCGGTTGAAAGCGACCTGCACGCCTGCATCCAGGTCTCTTTGTTTCCGTTGTAAGTTGGTTATGTTAAAATATACATTAGAGCAAAAATTTAAAATTTTCTAAAATAGTTGTACCTACTTTTATCAGGTTGGCATTAAACACTATTATACAAGTCATCGCTTATTATGCTGGGTGCGTGTTATAACTATTGTTATGTATTATGCTTATTGTGTAATAATATTTTTCGTATCGAGGAAAAAAGACATCCATAACATTCAAGATACAAATTTTAATACATTCGAACCAGTACAGGTCCTATTAACAATCATACTACACATACTTCTGTAATATTTTATTGACGTATTTAGACCTCTATAAAGTAAAAGTAGCTACGAGTAAAAGTTATATGAAGGTGCAGTAACCTACTGGTAACTATTAAATATTTTCGACTTGGCATGCCCTTGACACTTGACTCTATTGTATGCAAAGCATTCTAACGTTTCCTCAAAAGAATTATTGTCAAAATAAAGCATAGAATAAGTAATATTTTAGGTATATACTTACTTATAGATACTAAAGTATAGTTTTCCCCTGCTTTTCAACACGCTATTCAACTTTTACCTTTGTCTTTGAATTTCAAATATGCGAAACGTTTCTTTGGATTGTAATCGAGTGATTTATTTCGAAAACGTGCTAAATTTAAACATTTAAATAACTTTCATTGAAAGAGGATGAGGTTTGGCAACTTTATTTTTTTTATATTTCTTTACAAGGTTACTGTTAAGTTTTGTTGCAATGATAAAACTTCTTCTTTGACGATAAAGAAAATCTTTACTTAGGTAAGTAATGATTTTATTTATTAACAAATTACGGACACTGTTTTTTTCGTTGACTTTTTTCTTGTACCTTATAATGGAGTCTCATCTAATTGAAGGCGATTTGAGTTTCCTTATTTGGGTACGGTTTCATTTTAGAAATGACCAAATCGTATCATAGACCCTAAACGCGTTTCAAAAAAATTTTTTATTGAAATTGCCTGCATGGTAGACGGATTAGCAATCACTCTACCAAGAAAATTCTCGATGTAGGTATGTTCATGCTTACTATGATCGAAGTGCTCGGTCGGAAACATATTAATTTTCTAATCTTTGTCATTTTATTGAACTATTTAGCTTTCAAACGGCTTTGCCTGGATGTATGCCTGTGAAGTCCGTGTATTATTCCAGACAATATTTCTATATTTGTGCGAAGTTCAATCAAAACAACTTTATTAGTTTTTATGTGAAAGAGTAACAATCATCAATCCATCTATCCATTCATATGCATACTTACAACCCCGTGTTACAAACCTTCGACTTCATATATATACTAGTACGTCATATGTTATGTTAGTAGGATATATTTGTCTGTATATTGTGTAACAGCAAGATATATTCAATGATAGTTTTACATCTACTCGTACAGTAAATCACGTATCCATGACCACCAACAAAATATCAACTGGACCATAAAACGATGTCCTTGTCTTTTATTATTGTCTTCTATTAATTCCTTTTGCATAAATGCATACAAACTGTTACGTATGTGTGTTACGTGTTGTGTTTTCGTACCTGCTCAAGTGTGTATACTTCTATTTGACATCAATTTTATTTTTACTTAGAACGTGTTTTTCCTTCTCCGTTTAGTACAGTTAGTTTGATACTCGTCTTGTCAATAATAAAAAAATGATATATCAATTTGTTTAAGTGTTTTAAAGCTTAATAGATCAATCCAATCAACCAGATGATCGATGATCCAGTGTTGGACAAACTGTTCTTTCCATGCAACAAAACATGGACCCTCTGTCACATTCCGTACTCTGCTTAAACCGACTATTCCTAACACTTCTGTTTTTAAAACTGTATATAATCTGAGAGAGAAAATGTGCCTTCTTTTGGGCAACTAACCAACCATTCTTTACTGTTATTCGCAAGGCGCTAGCCTTAAAAATGTCGGCTATTACCAACGCACTTACGTCTTATTTAATTTTGAACATTATTGAGCTCATTTTCTAATTTTATTGCTATATTTGTTACACCTAATTATTTTAATTACCTCATTAAATTTTAAATTGTTTTTATGTATTCAAATGCCTACAATATCATTTTGAGCAACGTACTCTTTTGAGAAATCTTTTGCATCAAAGTGTTTTGCTAATAATATCTCTAAGGCACATGTGACATATTGTGTATCTCCTTCACGGGAAAAATTACACATGCGGTACAGTATTGCACTTGGCATGTAACCTGCATATTAGCATTGTTAGGCCTCATCTGTGATGGTCTGTTGGATGAGGCACGTTTAGAGCGTCTCGCCTTTTTTGCGAGCATAAATGCTTTGCAGAATGCGGAGGCGTCTTTCCCGTTCCTCTGGCTCCACACTATGGCGTTGACTAAGGCCGGCATCACTTCCCTGAGGACACGGTGGGGTTCAGCCGCTTGGGCTGGACACCAACGGGTTGGCTGCACGGTTGCTGCACGGTTACACGGCTGTTCTCCAGTATACGCGTGAGTGCGTGTATTAACAATTTCAAATAAGAAGTTTGAGTTCAACAATAGCGATTAATGCAAAGCAAGGGTCCTTTCTTCATGTGAGAAGGCCTTTGCTCAGCAATCGGCAATTACATGCTTACGAAGATGAATGCATTTTTGTAAGTTTGAAACAACAAAATAGTAACAAGAACGCAGTTTATTTCTTTTTTTTCTTATAGGTAACGTCATTTTTATGGTTAAAGACCATATACGTAAAACTAAAAAAAAAACAAAATGTGAAATTATCTTATAACAAAATTAATAAAAGTATCGATTGATAAAATATGTTTATTCAAAAATTACAATCTGATACAAACCTGGAACTCTTAAAAATATAGTAAAAAGCAATTCGTGTCTTCCATTATTTAAAGTACTTAATATGCCTTGCCTTAATACGCCTGCAGAAAAATTGTTTTTTCTAGAAAAGAATTGAACCCTAGTTAGTAATTAGCATTTTTACGTTAATCCGTCAGTTAATGGGTTACATATATTTTTTATTGCTGCCTAAATGATTTCCTCATTTGATTTGTATTTTGATGGGGCTATAATATTTTTTATGGAAAATACATTTTGATTACAATCTGAGTACAGTTAGTTCAAATTGATGATGTGACTGAGACACTATGGAAAAGCTTGTTAAAATGATTTCCTTAACATATTTACTTGTAAGTAAGAAATTATTAATAATATTAAAAAAAGAAAACTTTAAAATGACCAATTTGTGTTTTCAGGGTATTAGTATTTTAATTCTGCCAGCTTTTTGTAATAATATCGCACCAGCGACGACATTTGGACCAGAAATAGATGGGTGAGATGAGATATATTACTTACAGAACAATTATTTGAATAACCTGTTTAATTTTCATGCTTATTCAAAATATTGTTACGTCATCATTTCACACTACCCTATTATTGCACATATTTAATATTGTTTTGACTTTTTCCTAATAGAATTGGAACTGATTCAACTGACACGGTAACAGTAGTCCCTACAAACGTTAAGCCAACTATTACAACTGATGTGCTGCCTGTTAATTCTAACGTTACTATAAACGATGAAAGTGTGACTTTTACAAACGGACCACTAAATAGAACAACGTCATCAGGACTACATAGACGTGTTCTAACAATAAATAAAACAGTATTACGGCAGGGTGCAATAAAAAAAAGAGGAAAGAAGAAGAAAAGTAGGGACGGACGCCACGGTGCAGTAGACAGCCTCCTTTATGAAGAATACGATAGAGATGGAGAAAAAATTGCCGAAATTATGATGTATAACATGGCGGATGTTTCAAGATTCTTCCAGTCTTATCTGCATACACAAGTTTGTTACGGGTCATGCTCAACCTGATTATCCTAACAACGATGCAACAACCGCTGGTTGTATTCTGTTGTCCAATGACAATGTAGTCTGAAAATAATAAAGCAGTGATTAGTGAATATCTTTGTTTTATGCTTTTATTATTATTACCATTGATGTACCTACACAGGAATGTGTTTTTTTTAGATTGTCTACTATAAGAGTAGTATAGAATAACTATTTATTTGCTCAGTATATCTACACACTAATAATTAAAATAAGGTGATATTCAAAGAAAACACAGTGTTATAACATCATTTACGTTTTGTATATCAAGTAATATTAAATTTTATTTATATATTAAACTATAAGATTTTTAAGACAGTTTTTGTTAGTAGTTTCGTTTTATGTTTAATACTTACAGTTTCAAATTCACCGGTAGAAGTCGTATCATCAATAGAATTATCCAGACTATTATCCGTAGCGCTATTGTAATTAGTGGGTCCACTTCTAAATATGTAATCCAATAGTTCCTTATCAATTTCATTTTCAATGTTTTGGTTTTCTGTATTTTTCTCTTTTCCTTGATCTTTAACATCTATTGGTGGTGCCGTTGTTGTGTTTGGTACATCGTTAGGTATCTGTGATTTCTCAGTTACAATTGTTTTGTCAACTTCGAATTTCTTATCTGGAGAAAAGACGTTTTTGTTTGTTTCTTCAACACTTCTTTGGGTCGCAGAAGGTACAATATTCGTGTTTGGTCTTCCTTCAGGTGGCATGTTAAAGATAGGATTTGCCTCTATGACACCAGGAGGTTTAGGTGTGTTGTTTTTACCAGTAAATATATTTTCAATGCTTGTGTAGGTTTTACTAGCCGCTTGTTTTGTTGCCGAAAGAGCACTGAAAGGAAATTGATATAGTTAATTTAATAAAGATATTGTCAGGTGTAATTCAACTCAAATTTGCATGCATAACCCTTTTATTGATTAGAAATATCATCGCAAGAATGATTGCATGAATAGATTAGCATAAAATGACTTAGGTAACTCATTACACTTTTTATTACAACGAAGGCAATTGTTAACTTGACACGCGATATCTGATTGAAACAATAGTAGTTTCTATTAACCCAATGCAAATTATATTTAAAAACATACGAGTAGTAGTACAATTAAACTCATTGCAAAAAAGTAGATCTAAAGCCCAAAAATATAGAAATTAATATCATGCGATATAAGATTGGGATGAGTATGGGTGTGCATTTTAATAGTTTATGAGACTTTCCACAAAAACTGATATAAAATAAAACCAACTTTTATGTTTAGTTTTTTTTTATCTTTTAGTAAGTGAAAAATCTAAATTATTTACTTATATAATAAGATGTTTTTCAATAACGTATTTTTGTTTATTTAAAGTTTTAGTGGGCATGTAGCATACAGATTTATTTTTTAAATTATTAGGACACATTTGTTTTACCTGGTGAAACTTTGTTATCGCTAATGCAAACGAATTTTTTTACTACCTCTTTATTTTTCACGCAAGCTAAACCTTGTGTTAAAGATAGTATTTTAAAATCGACTGAATCCTTATACCCTTGCAAATGCGAGTCCTTATGTACCGCACTATCATTGATTGACATTGATAAGATTAAGAATGTACGTGAAAGAATGCATTGAAAGTACTTACGATCCTAAATTCAATCCAAATACAGAAAAATTGTTAGCTGGTGATCTTTTGGTTCTTGCATTCACGTTTTGAGATGGCATACTTGCAACCATCTCTATGTTGATACATAATATCCATAGCGCCAGTACCTGAAATCAGAAAATTTAGAACTTAAGGAACTATATTGCAAGAAAAGAAAAGTGTCTTGTCGCCGAAGTATGCATTTGTAAATAGAATGAGAATTAAAAACTGCATTTTTTAATTTCGAATTAGAAACATATTTACTGTCTCCATGTTTCAATTCTCACTGAAAGTTATTGCGTGTGGTGATAGTATAGCAGAAAATACAATTTTGTCCTACCACTCCTACCTACTCGCAGGTGACTTAATATCATGAGCGATGATGAACGCAGGCAGCGTATATCATCGCTCTCTGATTTTTATTTGAACTAACTGTATATATTCCACGAGACAAACGTGGAAATTATGGGAAACCACATTTTTGTAGAGGAGGTCTCTAGTCCAGTAGTGGATTATCAGTCAGTCTACACAACTTTTTATTCTAACTCTCCCATAACGGGCCTGCTGGAAGAGATTTCTGAAGAAATAAGCTGTGCCTTTGTACCTAATTGTTGTATTATTTTTCTTGTCCAACTTACTGTGTGTACAAAAATTATTAAATAAATAAATAAATAAATTATCAAGGAATATTGATAATGATAGGATGAATCGTAAAACTGCGTCCAGTATTTTTGCAACCTGTTCCAATGTATCTACATTATTTATTTTAAAAGTATTAAGCTGCTATTAAGACTATAACTGCCTCTTTTTGGGGTTGTTAGGAATTTAAGAATTAGAAAATTGGGGATAAGGGAAAAGGAGGGAATGTACTGAGTCTCCAGTAATGAGGTAACTCAGACGACAAAATACACCGCAAGCATTTTTTCTGTGTGAGACTGCTTCTCGCTGTGGTCGTGCTGGCCGATTCTTGTTGAAGTATGACTTTCCTACAACAAAGAATCTACCACAAAAACATGAAATAGGTAGGTACCTAATTTGAGCGGTTTCGTTTAAAAAATAGTCGTATGGTCTTTTTTATTGCCTGCTCGTGAGGACTATTGACCGCTCATCGATTATAAAAAAAATTCAGCGCACAGGTTCACAATAGTTTTTTTTGCGATTTTATCCCTTTTTTGCTTTAAAATGTTAACACTATTTTACTTGAAATTGTCACAATCTATGCGAGTTCTGGAAGTGTTTTCGTAGACTGACTGAAGATATGAATTCTTATTTACACTGGGCAGGCTCTCATTTTTGTCAATAAGAATTATGTACCAATTTTAGTATATGTACTGCCGAAGCAAGTACTAGAATTATGTTGTAAAATTTTGCATGCATACCATTATTTTGCTAGACCTCAGAATCTAGCTAATCATTTATGAGAGCTCAACTTACACAAACAACGTATCGTTGACTTAGATAATTAAGTTATGTTATACTTATGTTTTTCCTCAAAACCAAAAAATACGATAAAAACCAGAGCTACTAGTTTGAATTTGGATCTTCGCATTTTAAAAAAACACAATTTTAACATTTTCCCTGTAATTATGTAGGTATAACAAAAAATCTTCTTAAGTTAATTATAGTATAACACAATTCGTTATATTGTAAGAATAATTTACTTATTATATGCTCGTAACAATTACAGTTGACATGTTTTCTTTTTTTAAGATAAAGATAAATTTATTCGCAAATATAAAACAGGTGATTCAGATATATATTAATGGTTCAGTCATACATTGCCAGGAAGGCTAGCAAGTTTTAACAACAGTAGACTAAGTTAATCTTTAAGTTTAAGTAAAAACAAAAAACTATTACGGTCTTAAAGTAATCAATAAAAGAAGCAAAAATAATAGTATAATGAAGATAAAGAAAAAAAAACCAGAAGGTTAGGTCTTAAATATTAAATTCCATTAGTGATAACTTCTTTATTTTTTTACGTGAATTTTGTTGAAAATTGAATAAAATAATACTAAATACTAACCTGTACTATTCTGAAATCCATTTTTTATGAGACGTAGTAATTTTAATTTGAATATAAATATACCCGTCTAAACTATAAACACAATGCACTAAAATTTGTTCCAATTTTGTATTTTTACAACACGATAAAGATTTATACCGATATATTTTCGCCTAACAAAAAGTTTTGGCTACATCACTACGCATCGGAGGCACAAATGGCTTCGATTTGTTTCCTGTCCGTATAAAATTCTCGGAATCAGGTGGTCGTTTTTTGCTCACACATAATTAGTTAAGGTAGGCACACAAGTTGAGGCAATAATACAAATTGGAATAACGGATCAAAAACCGAATACAACAAGTTCTATGTACGTCTTAATAGAAATAAGGTAAGTATATTTCTGATGAGTCTACGGCAATGTCGCGACCTTCCTTACTTACAATTACATCACAGAAATTGAATAAGTAGAGTTGTTTGAAATAGTTTTATCGTGTTTACGTTGGTCTTCGGTAGTAATAATTTATAACAAGTTTGTTGTTGACCTCACCTAATGTACAATAATTATACTCGTACATACCTTTGCAAAGCGTATCAATATTTTTTGTAAATTATTTACACTCTATTTCAATTATAACTACCATTGAGAAGACCTCGGTAGGTACATAGGTATATATTATTACGAATCCCAAATTTATAATATTCCTACAATCAAAAGGACCTGATGTTATTAGAACCTTTAGATTTATTATATGTTATATCTATCTTCTCTATAATAATTTCCTTTCACGGTAACTTATCTAATAGCTTAGTTATTCGAATAAAATATTTTTTAGTTTAAATTTTAATTGTGAGTGATCCTGTACCTCCTTTTTTTCTTTAAAAAACGTTGCACCACATTAGGAGTTTCTCCTGTGTCGTGGTTGCGGTTACAAACATACAATTTCACATACACATGACACCCTGACCCGGAACAACAATTTGTGGATCACACAAAGAGGTGTTCACAAGTTGCACGGCAGCCAGTTGCCCAGCCACCGCACCAACCGTGCAGTCCAAGTCCACGTTTTACACATTTATTTTCTTTACATCCAAATCCGTCTTCAGAATACGCCGGTAAGTACAACTAGTCTGGATGTACAAAACGACCAAGAGTCGTCATAGAAAGACCTTCCGGAGAACTCGCTAAAGCTCCTGAGGTCCGTGAGATGAGATCTCTGGCCGTCTATAGGCCTGTGCTTACGGGCCTGTACACGGCAAGCAAGAATCAACGGACCAGAACCAGACCCGAACATGATCCGACGAAGCATCATGACCTGAGCATGGTGGGTATAACCGCAATGATGTATCACAGTCCAGTTCAGAGTAGGAACAGGAAAGAGTTCCTTTTAGTCAGGTTTAAGTCTTAACATCCCAACTAGCACTGGGCGAGAAAAAAAATTATGACTATCTCCACTGAATAAGCTATCTCACCTCAAAAAAGATACTGGATATTCACTAGATTTGGTTCACTAGTTCTGTACTTGAACGGTTCGCGATGCAGCTTCATAGCTATACATTTCTTAGTGCTTAACATGACGCCATTCCACAAGGCACCGTTACAAGAATTTCAAATTGGACCAAGATTCAATAGTTTGTAGGTTACTATAATAAATTGTAGCTGTAAACTACATATGTTATTAAGCTGGATGCGATCCAGGCTTCGAGGATAGGTAAGTACCGTTTGATAAATAGCTTGAAATCCGTGATTGAAATAGCTACGTTACTCGAAATAAATGTAAGCCAATATAGAACGTATTTTCTTTGCATTAGAGTTAGCCTCTAAATATTTAATAAAGTCATCAGGATACATAATAATTTATTACAGAAGCATTTCTAATACATGAGGAAGATTAACCCAAACATAGACACGACGAGTCTATCCTGCTATGTAAAAATATTTATAAAGTTATGTAAGAATATTAACAAGAGGTCCAGATGAGAGGTAATCAAATATTTAACATCGCTGTGCTCACATTATATAAACTTTATTGTTAACTTACTGCGTAAATTTATGAAATGACATGTTTTAGGATTGAGTCTACTCATTAAATTTTATGTTATAAAATTCATTTTGCAGCAGTAAGCTGCCTATTTGGCATACGCTCTGATAAACGTTGAATGTATTATTGTCAGGCATAAACTATTTCGAGCACGCTGTTTTAACAGCGGTAAGAGAGAGACACTACGGCGTCCTCACCTTCCGCCTGACGCAGGTGCTAACCGGGCACGGCAATTTCGGTAGGTTCTTGTTCCGGATTCGACGGGAGAAAACGACCGATTGTCGTCATTATGAGGACCACCCAGAGGACACGATGGAGTTACGATGGCGGTGTGCCCTGCTTGGGCTGAGCTCTCCCGTGTCCTCAAGGAAGTGTATCTGTCGATCCTTCAGATTTCCACAGTCACATTTCTGTTAAATACGGTAATTAAATTTATTTATTTAGTAAACTAAATTAACGTTAACTTAAAAAAAAACACTTGTGAAGCTTCCAATACTGGGAAATACCACTCATACACTGAGAAAGAATGTGCTACGAATGTGGTTCAAATCCAAAAGTGTTCAAAAATGGTATATAATCTTGGTTTTCTAATTTCTATTTTATACAATAAGTTGGCGTGAGACACATTTTTCAAGGTGGTAATATTTAACTGTAAGGTTGGTTTTAAGGTGTTGTAGGTGGTGCGTTGTGGGTAAAATTATGTTTTTGTAAACGCACTCCAAGAACACAAAAGAAAAGAACAGTTTAAAAATAAGATATATGATGTGAATTACCCAGCAAACTGCGACAGTTGATTTCAACAAGATTTTGTAGTTTTATTTATTTTATTCGTAATAAATCGTTACATTATTTTACTTGCCGCTACAGAACCTTCAAGGGCGAGTTCGTTTCCCTACCTACTAGGTGTATTTACTAGAAATGGAATCGGAAAATAGATTCGGAGAAACATTAACGCTTATCAACAAATACTTGAAAGAATGCAATAAACGCAGTAGATACATTAGGTAGTAGTATATAGTCTACAGACAGAGATAGAAGACGGAGTATTAATGTAGGTAGTGACTACATAAGGAAACATAAAATTATTATAAGAAATAGTTTATTATGTGATAGGTCGGCAAACGAGCAGACGGAATACCTGATGATAGGCATTCAGCGTCGCCCATGAACACCCGCAACAACAGAGGAGTTACGAGTGCGTTGCCGAACTTTAGGGGTTTAGCATTTAGGGAATCGGCGAGGGGAAGGATTGGGCTTCCGGTAATCTCACACACTCACCGAAACACAACGCTATGGTTGTTTCACGCCGGTTTTCTGTGATGCCGTGGTATCGCTCCGGCCAAACCGACCCATTTGTGCCGAACATACGAGTAGCTCTCCCACCCTAGTTTTCATGCTGATACGGCCTAATTTCAACACATAATTATCATTTGTTTACTTAACAATACAATGAATTTACATTCGTCTGAACAAAGTCGGAACACTGTTGCGTATAAAATACCAGAATTCACTAATTTTCATAAAAGATCTATCTTCGATTGACAATCTAAACCAACGAAACTACATAATTGTAACCATAACTAAAATTATCTGTCAAATGTTCGGGATTTCGGAACATGAAATCTTTAACTGAATATTTTATTCAAAAAATACTTGTTACTGTACTGCACATTTTCTTTTATATTTACGAGGGCAGGTAGGGTGTAAAGAAAGAAAGAAAAGAAAAAAACATTTTGTTTGAGACTCACACAGAAAATAAATATCTACAAATACAATTAAATTTTATATATATTATACAATTACATTTTATTTTTTGATCGGTATTTTTCGTCGGACAAGTCAGCAGCACTAGCTATACTGGTTGCAAACTGACACTTGCGTGCCTGTCTTCAGAACGGGTCCACTTAAACTGGTGTGGTTCTTTCCTCAAAAAACCACTACAGAATGAACTTGCACGGTTCTCTCACATTATGTTATTTTACATTGTCTGGACTTGAAAAGAGACTGACCTCTGAGTTTGTTTCGGCATTTCTTCTCAGAGTAGTCAGATAGGAAATGCCGGCTTCATCTAGTTCTTCACATATAATTTGACGTGTAAATGTGCCGTTTTATGGCCTATTTGCAAAAATAAATTCATTGTTTCATTGTATATACAAAAAGAAACAAAAACAAAACAACAACAAAAAATATTAAAAAATAAAATAAAAGACCTGTGTAGAGATACGAAAGCTTAACAGAAAACTGGCATGAAATAACAACAACAAAAAAGCATGCTAGGAAAACGTGTCATCGGATTGGTGGGAATAGATTAAGACATAGTTAAAAAAAATTTTTTTTGTGAAAATAATAAATAAACCAAAAATAAATGAATAATGAAATTTGTTCATTGTACGAAGATTTATTGGGTTTCTCAATTTTAAGTTTCCTAAATCCACCATACATACATACTGTTACTACTACTGTTGTACTACTGTTGTACTCGATGTTATAATGATGTCATTGTAGGTAACTTAATATTGCCCTGAAAAACAGCGTTTTGCTAAACCAAATCACTGCTATAGCACATTTGTTTGTAAGAACATTTACGAATGTTTTGCAAACTTTACCTTAGCTCACCCACAAGACGAAACACAACGATATCGGTATTCGAGGCTTTTTTGAGACGGCATAATTAACAAATGACTTGTCCCGCCCTGGGTGGGGCAAGAGGGGGTGTCTCTTACTGACTAAAAACCACTTCGCTCCTTCCACTACTTCAAACCTGGATCGCGGTTCGTTATTGCGCTTGCACTCCGATTAGTATTCTTGAGGCTGGTGTCATTCCAGTCGAGCCGGCCCACTCGTCCTAAAGTACCTAAGGAAACTTATTGCCAAATGTATGAAAACTAATTAAGAAAATTTGACACACAAATATAATATGTCCAGTTCTGTTCGATGATTTAAACAAGTTTTAAACAAATAGAAACTATAGTGCTGAGTAGCTGCTGTTGGTCAGACATTTTTGACGCCTATGTTTTTTGAATCGCAATGTTAGCAGTTGTGATTTGCTATAATTATTGCATAGGCGTAACACAGAAACAACCCTATTTACGTTTTTTTTATTATAACATATAATTTATTGAGTTGAATATCTTTAGAAAAAAAAAACAATTTGATTTTCGCATTCATATTATTATATTTATAGGACACACTGGACAATTATTTATTTTGTATAAATTACATTCTTCTCGGACATCTATAATTTTCCATCCTCGAACTTGAAGAGGGTGTACGACTGCGGACTCGAAAGGGACACTCTCTTAGTCTTTGCCTACGCGCACAGACGCGCGTATCGGCTTGCTTCGCCAGGCTAGACATCATGTTCAGTCTATAGCGCCCTTGTTCCATCTGCAGCAGGCCCAGCCTCACGCCACGCTTCAAAGTTCTGTAATACAATAATCTTTATATATAAAAATTTCGTGTCACATGTTTCTCTGCGATAGACTCTTAAACTGCTAAACCGATTTTAAATTCGATTTGCATTCCGTGTGCATTTTGATCCAACTTGAAAGATAAGATAGGATAGCTTACATCTCAATTTATAGCCACAATATTATTTTATTTCAAAATGCTTTTTAATTATTAGTGGTTGATGTTAGGCGGTACGAAGTTCGACGCATCATCATCATTTGTAGGAAGCTAGTATGATGTAAATAGAACATCATCGATGCCGTTTACATGCGTGGAGGAACTTATTTTAGATGATCAACTAAATGACTAATTGCACGCAAGCCCTTGTGTTTGTACTGGCGCCTTTCTGTAGTAAAAAGAACAATATCCCCGCCTCTGTCAAATAAGACCTTAAATAATTACATATATGTCAATTACTAAAACAAAATATATACTTTTTGACGAAACATGCAAAAAAACATAATCAGTGATTTCGTAAAAAGAAGCGTGAGAGTGTTTTAAATAACAAGGCCGTGGTTGAGTGTAAAGACGAGCAATCCCTCTCTATTAGTAATGGACCATCAAAGAGATTGGCTGCTTATAGTGGTTATAATGATTACCGTTTTATAAATACACTAGCTACTCTCGCGTGGTTTGACCTAGTGCTCGGCACCATTTAATCATAGCGTAATGTTTTATAGCCTATAGCACTCACAAACATTGTAGCTATCTATCAATGAAAGAATTTCGGCAATCCGACCAGTGGTTCCAAAGATTACCCCATACATACAAACTTACAAATTTTACCTCTTCATAATATTAGTATAGATTTAGTATTTTTGCCATAACACACATGTAGTTGATATACAATCTTTGTAAATGTGCTACCTATATAAAGGTAAAATATATAAAAAAAAAACATTTTTATCTTTTTCTTTGAGGGTAAGTACTAAAATCATCAAATGGCCTCTCCCGCTTTGGGAGGGAGGGAGTGTCAGACTCTTACTGACTAAAAAACACCCCGTTCATATCATCATGTTATAAAGAAATACAAAATAATTAACTCTGTCCATCATAACTTTGGTTCTAGGTTTAGTGTGTAAGTAGTCGTTGATGTATCATGCATCGTGGAAAAAAATGAAATTTATGACGTTTTTAATGATATTTTTGATAAGAACAGTATAAGTAAATACCCAAATTGAATATATTTACTAACAAATGAATGACATTTGAAAAGGGCATAGTTTCTTATGTGTTCCAAATAACTGAACGGTCAACACAAAGGTGAAGGTTGAACAAATTATTGTAACTATCATGTTAATAATCGTTTGTTTTTGAAGCACTTATTTATTGGTATGCGGAATCAATGAAGGATTTACAAAATTACTTCTTTCCGTAATGTTATTGTAAGGATGATATACCTACAATTATTTTTATACGTCTATTTATGTTATTAGCAAAACTTGTTAAATAAAACAGGAACATTATGAGGTTATGTTATACTAGCTTTGTCTTAACCAGCTTTGTCTGTCTAGAAATCAAAATAATGCTATATGTATATACTACTGCATAAATAGCAACTTAAAATATTCGAGAAACCGAAGTTCCTATTATTTTTTTCTCTTTTATTCTTTTTTTTAAAACGTTGCCTCTCACTAGGATTTTCTCCTGTTTCGTGAGTGCGTTTACAAACACAATACATACACATCACACCCGGAACAACAACTTGTGGATCACACAATGAGATGTTCCGTGTGGAAATCGAATCGCACCAACCTAGTCCTATCTAACATCTATTGTATATTATAATCATTAGTAAATTTTAAATCAGATAAGTAAGTAATACTATAGTCAGACTTTTAATTCGATTCCTGATTTGACATTGACCACTGTCATTTTGTGAAATAATGATACCACATATAACAGTGTAGTGATGAACACAAAAATCGATAAACAATCAGTGAATCAGTTTCAGGAAGGCATTCAAAAAATTACGGCTACCGAATGGTCTAAATGTGTATCCCATGTTTTCAAAGAAGAGGAAAAAATGAGTAAGCTAGATATGTTAATTGACAATAAATATCAAAGACACAATTCATAATAAATGTTACAGAAAGTAACAGCGATAGCGATAGCGATGACGGCGACAATTTATAAAATGTCTGTTTTATTTGTCATATTCCTTCATGATCACATTTTTTATTAATTTCACACACAATTACAAAAGAAAAGTCTCAGATCGTTAATTAATTGTCAAAACTAAATTATCGGTTCAGAAATATTTTATTTCCTGATAAACTTAGTTTACGAGAGTAAATTTATAAACGAGAGGAATCGATTCAGAAATATTCGATTTCCATATCGAATAATTTCGCAACGTCACTATTTATTACGTGTCATAACGTTGCAACACTGAAATTGTCAAATCTGGAATGGAATTAAAATTCCGAGTATAGTGCTAATAAAGGTAACAATAATTACAAATGTATCTATTGTCTACCGTCTAAAGTCAAAGTCAAAGTCAAATTCACTTATTTCAATTAGATCCTTACAGGCACTTTTAAACGTCAAACTAAATTTGAAAGATACGTAACTTAATATACGAGCGTTTTTTCCTTGTGGTTTGACCTACCTGGAAACTTTTCGACTGAGTTTTGGGTCACAGACCCGGTACTCCATTTTAATGAACTTTATTATAGTACGAGTGGTCCATCCCGTATTTTTCATCAATTTCTTAATAGCAGATAAAACCATTTCCCCGGTGTTTACATCAGAAGCAGTCGGAGGCGTTCTTCGTCCCATCTTACCTGTAAAATATCACTAACATAGTATTTTATAAGAACTGTAGAAGGTGTTCCTACCAAACATCTGCAAGAATCTCTGAAGCAATTTCGGTATCCATGAAGAGCACCCATTGGATAACTGTCAAAGAGGCAAATCAAAATTACTCTGAAATAATTTGACTTACTTACGTGAAATAAGCAAGTTATTATATTATTGTATTAAGAAATAAAGTTTTATAGTGCTGCTAAATAGCAATACACATATTTAATAAAAACTAGACACATTTACGCCAAAATTTTAAGATTCACTTTCTAGCAGCTTTTTGATACGATATCTATGACATATTGATGAAATTTATTTTTTTGACATTTGCCAACTGCTGAACCAGATCACATTAGATGAGACATTTTTAAAAAGTTTTGTTATATCTATGAAATTCATTGCTGAAAGAAGGTCAAAAGAAAATAGTTTCAATGAATGGCTTTAGTACTTGTTATTTTAAGAGATAGTACATATATAGGAATGGAAGGTATATTCTCTAATGTCTCTAATGAAAAATGCATTTCATATTCAATAAATGGGGTTGAGTAATATTTTTTATTGTACCTAAACAAAGTTCAAACTTTAGATATGTATTTTTTTTTCTAGAAAAACTAAGACGACATTTTGATCCGAAATTTCTTGTGACGGCACATTGATAGGTGACGAATCGACGAATCATTCCAAAACTAAGATTCGTTTTGATACCTTAATATTGTTTATCGTTATTAATACATCTTTTTTAGGAATAATAAATAACAAAACAATATTTCTGACTCAATTGAGAACACAGTGCATCCTACTGTGGTATATGACATATTTTTTTTATGTTATAGATCGGCAAATGAGCAGACGGATTACCTGATGGTAAGTAATCAGCGCCGCCCATGGACACTCGCAACGGCGCGGAGGAGTTACGAGTGCGTTGCCAACTTTTGAGGGATTAGGGATTGAGGAGGGATTGGGGGTGGGGAAGGATTGGGCCTCCGGTAACCTCATTCACACGGCGAAACACAACGCTGTGGTTGTTTCACGCCAGTTTTCTGTAAGGCCGTCGAGCCGACCCATTCCTGCCGAAGCATGGCTCTCCCACACTTACATGTCATGACATTAACAGACATGTAACAATATACATATTACTCTCAGGCCGGGGTCGCGGTACTTTATAACACTCGCTCCTACATACTTCCCAGAACATCAGCCTTGTGGGCCTCATCCGTGATGGTGTAATGTGGATTTTGAGACATTGGTTTTAATGGACTATTTCTATTTTCAAAATTAATTAGTAAGTTCTTAATGTTTTTAAGTTATTTTTTTTTCTTTAATTCACAAAAGCGTAATGTAGGTATTAATACGAGGAAAGAGTTTTTTTATGTTTACAATCAAATGTAGTTATAACATTAGGAACAGTCGCCGATTAGAAGCTGGTTATGTTAATTTAAATTTAATCCACGAACAAACAAATTCGGGGATTTTTAGACGGAAATTTTATTCTCCGACACAAATTTAGAATAAGGAAAATAGGCTTCATAAAAACTATGAAACTAGTAATACTCAACACTGAAACTGAACTTTCACATTTATGTAAAACAGTGAAGTAAATAAATATAATGCAAAGAGTATACTAATCTAAGCAATGGAAAATAAAACGAATTTAATTAGAAGAACAGATTTATTTAAAACAATAAAATTATTCGCGGAGTAGCGCTAGTACCTTAGGGGATATGGAATCAGCATAACCTTGTGAGATAGTTGGTTGAAAGCCATTCTCATCAGCGACGTATTCAATTAAGTACGCATGACCATCAGGAGCGATCCAAGAGTATGAACCTTTTACCACCACAAACTCTTTCTCAGACCCTGGATTCCGTACTTCTCCAGTTTGATCAAACTTCGTTCCATCGCTTTGTTCGTACCTGCGAAGAATACATTGAATAGTAATGTTAATCACATTTAATTTTATAACAATTTAGTGGTTGGTTTGTACCTACAATACCTCCCAAGAATTGTAAAGATTCGTACAAAAACGGAGTCACAGCACCGTCATAACAGAAAATACAAATGATAAATATGTAGAACAGACTTGCAAATAATGCTTAAAGTGCCATTATTTCACCTTGTGTACATGTTCCTGTGCATGAAGCCAATAAATAAATAATTTATTTACATGTTATTAATTTCCAAATATGTAACAGTAAGTATGGTAACAGTAACAGTAAGTGAAGGTAATATTATTCAAACAACTCACTCAAAATTGTAAGCACCAAGTCCATCGTTGTTTACATTGTATTTTATAATGTCGATATCTTGAGGGGCTGCCGCTACCACAGCAAGGAACGCACACAACACCAACTGAAAGAAAAAAACACATTTAAAGTTCGAAAATATCGTTCGATTCCGTAATTTTCCTCTCTATATACCTACATATATTTATATATAGCACGTATAGTACCGAACTTCACAAAATACTGCATTAAAGATATTATTAAGTATCTAATAAATATTTATGATTATACATTACTGACCAATTTCATGATCACTGTTAGACGGCTGACCGTGGCGGATCTTCCTTGGTATCTGTGCTCGTGAACTTGTGTGTGCAAAGGTCACCAACTCGAGAATAATGGCCGGCATATAAATCTAGATGTAATTGACGCCATAGATCGCTCGGTTGACTATGAAATTATATTTTTCTTGCAGATATTACAATGAAAACAATATGTATGTTTGAATCGTATCAATAAAAATGCCATGGAAAATAGTTCATCATCATCAGCCTATAAGTGCCCACTGCTAAGCAAAGGCCTCTTCTCATATGGAGAAAGTTAGAGCATTAATCACCACACTTGCTCAATGCGGGTTGGCGATTTCAAACTTATAATTAGAAGTTATAAGTCCAGGTTTTCTCACGACGTTTACGTTCAGCGTATGTCGGTGGTGTCTATATAATCATAGAAAGATATAACTCGGAACAAGTCACATTGGTACTTCCCAGGTTTCGAACCCACACCCTCATGCATGAGAAGCGGGCTCCTTAACCTCCGGGCCACCACGACGTTTCGACATTCACCGGAAAATAGTTATTAAACTTCAATCTATTGTTTTTCTTAGGGTATATCTAGATCTTGTGGTAAGCTATTTGGGATCCCATCAGCTCTTTGCTGGCTAACAGGCACATAGTACAAAAACCTAAATGATTTATAAACCAGAAGATATTAAACAACAATGTTTAATTGCAGATATAAACTGATGCAGGTATGCAGTTAATTGCCTTATTAGTATTCTTATGATGCGTGAGAACACATATTTCCTTCAAACAATATTTTGAATTTTTAAGAATTCACTTAAATTACTATTTATTATGCTGATATTTTTATTTCCCATAGTTAGGTACTTACATTTTTAAGAGTACATATGTACATTAATTTTAAATATCAGCTCTTCTTCGTAGTATCTCCTACGTTTGTTGCTAACTTTTGGACCAAAATATGTTGACTTACAGATTTATAATATAAATCACTAATTTAATTTACATGAAACTAAACTTCATAATTTAGAACGTCATGTTCAAATAAATAAACTTTGTATTTGCATTATCGCGTTGCCGTGGATTTGTGAATCTGTGAAGATAATTCAGATGATAATACATTATATTGTAATCAAATCACCAGCATGATACTGACTGTCTAAATAGCCACATTTACCAGGACTGACTAAAAGTCAGTAAGAGTCTGACCGCCCTCTCGCCGCACCTAGGGCAGAAAGAGTCTTTTGAAGTTGTCCTTACTCCTCCACCAAAAAATAAATAAATATGCACAACCCTGCTTGGTTAACAACCACTTATATGTGTATATTATTATTGTGTTGTGGGTGTTTATACTTATGTGGGTACTTAAATGAGGGTAGTCAAGCAGGTCCTAGTAAGGGAGGCAATATAGTATTAACTACCAAATACCATCGACCATAACACATTTTATGCTCCATAGGTGGACGTCTGGACGTCGATTGCAATAATATAATATAATAATATATACGAGAACGTTTGTAAGCACAGGCGGCACAACTACTGAACGGATTTGATGAAACTTGGGATAGAAATAGGTTATATTCTAGAATAATACACAGGTTAATTTTCACAGGTACTAAGTTATTAGCAAAAACATAAAAGAGTATTAGGAAAATAAAACAAAATAATTGAAAATAGACCTTAACTATGACTTTTATTTAACAAATTATCCTATTTTTTCTATATTATAATACTTTAACCGAGTAATGAAGCGACGACCGCTGAGGGTACGGCACCGCCGGGTCCTTGCTCGATGGTGGGCTGGAAGCCATTCTCATCAGCTACGTAGTTCACAGTATACTTGACACCGTCAGGACCGACCCAGGAGTAGGAACCTTTTACCGCAACGAACTCATCTTCAGAACCAGCGTTCCTGACTTCTCCGTATTCATCACGTCCAGTACCGTCGCTTTGGTCAAACCTGGAATTGAGACACATTTTGGTAAAATTTGCCTGTACTTTATTAAAGGCACTTTAATTTTCATTTGAAAAAGTAGTATAAGAAAGTATGTATTGTACGTAATTACTGGCGAACCCCATGAAAAAAAGGATAAAGTTTTTTTATATTCCTGTATTAAACTTAAACATGATGTTTCAATTTATATTATCTAGAGAGTATCCGAATATCGTTGTCTCATATGCTATAGTAAAAATCTATTCAATTAAAACTCACACGAAATTGTAGGCGCCTAGTCCATCGTTGTTCAGGTCGTAACGCAGGAGTTGAATATCCTCAATATTCTGAGGGGCGGCCGCAGCCACAGCTACTAATGCACACAACACCAACTGAAAGTAATAAAAACCGCACTATTAAACACTTTTTCACAATCACATTAAATAAAATAATTTAATATTTAAATCACCGCAAAGTACTGACCAATTTCATGATCGCTATTAAACGGCTAACCGTATCGAGTTAACTTGAACTATGTTCTCGTGAATTATCTGAACCCATGTTTTATACTATTCCGAATATTGCATTGCAACATACTGTTATTAGTTGACGCACATCTCGTTACAGTGTTTTGTGTATTTGACCACTCCTACGACATGGCGAAGGTAAGACGCGAAACGTTTGATGGGACCTTTCGAAACATATTTTAATAATAAGTGTAACTTCAAGTGATGGGACCTACAACTCATGTGATTGACAGCAATTAGGAGATACATATTTTCCTTCTATCATTAGAACTATTATAATTATTGAATATGTTGATTTATTTGCACATTGTTGTGTTCATTTTATCCGTAAGTATGCAGTACAGTGGTTTGTTCTGTGGTTTTCTGTAGTCCAAACTTAAAAAGAAGAAAAGTGTTAAGCTTTTGTAAAAGGTTATGACAGAAAACCACGAAACGGTTAATATTTAATTAGCTATTTCGTTTATGTGTTGCAATGAGAAAAATTCAATCGATGCTTTTAATGTCTATTGCAAAACTCTCTCTCTAATCTACAAAGTAAAGTTTTGACGAAATTTGAACTTTTCAATGTTTTATTGAACTGTTTCAAAAAAATTAATTATACTGAAAATTATATATGATCGCGATTAATTATGTCATTAGACGGACCCATTAAATACTTATTAAACTTTAAACAAAATTAGTTAATTAATAATCTTGCAACGTTAACCTATGACCTCTATGTCAGTACCTTAACTCGGTTGGCCAATAGAAATAATGATTTTTAACATGTCGGCATACATTACGTATGGATGAAACATTTGTAAATTATTTGGATGATTACTTTAATTCTATTACTTAAATATTTAGTTTTGTGCGTTTTCCATACAATTTGAGCTGAATAGTAAAAGAAATTTTGTATAAATTGGAGATAGTTTCATTGAATAGTTCATTGTTGTCCGTTATAAGCTTCTTTTATTTTATCATTTTATATGTGCGGTCATGCTTGTGCATAATTGGGCCGGCTCGACTGGAGTGATACCACAGCCTCACAGGAGAACGGCGTGAAACAACCGGACCGTTGTGTTTCGGATATCCTCTGGTTTTGCAGGTATTCAATGGAAGTGTGGATTGCTTACCATCAGGTAACCCTTTAGATCGCTTGCGGCCTTATCATATAAAAAAACAATTCTTCGTTTTGATTGCACGATTTGCGTAGTGTTTAGACAACCGGCTGCTGTACAGGTTCGATTCTCGTACGGAATGTTTTTTTTTGTATGATATATATATATTGGTTGTTTCTGGTTTGAGTTCGTTGTATATTAATTGATATTGTCTATTTGTAAATGTACTAACAAAGCAGGAGAAACATTTGCTATAACACGTGATCTTCAGCTTTACTACGTTTTATCGATAAAAATAATAAAAGATAATAGAGTTTTCAGCCTTTCAGTTAAATACTACACTACACTCACCTCCTACACGGTACATCCATACACGACACACGCTCTTAGTTTAATCTCTACTCACGCCAATCATTACAGCGATTCATATTAATTTGAATAGTCTGTACTCACGCTGCTTTTCACTTCAGTGTCCAGAAAAATGGTGGGACGCCATTACGTCACCCAAGGATATGCTGAAAATCAGCGCTGTGCCACCAATTCCTTGAGGTTGGGGTCTCAGCAAATGCTGAGCATGTCCTTTTTTTGCGCACGTACCACATTATTTATACATTGATGGAATTCCTAAACTTAATGTAGTTAATAATAAATGTTTTTGTTATTGTTTGTCACCAAGGGTGATAGTATCAAAAAGATTATAAGCACTGCGTTTATTGTTACAATTACAAATGAATGATGTTAATGTTATATGCAAAGAATATGTAATCACTGCGTTTATTATGTTTATTACTTCTAATAAGTTTAATGATGTTATGTTACTTTACTCTTTGGTTACATCCTTGTACTTATGGTCCACAGAGCCACAGATAATAAAAAGTTACAAGCGACCTCGCGCATAATGTCATACTCTGTCGACCATAGATAGATAAAAGTTTACCTACTATTTACTCTTTATTTTTTTGTGCTTTCTGTTTATAATTTTATTTTAGTTAACAGTTTACATTATTTTATCGTTTTGTGTAAATAATTGGTATAGTTTTTCTTTTTCCTTTTTTTTTTGGTATTTTTGATTTTTATGTGTGTGCGCTTGCGCAGAAATAAATGTTTCTTTCTTTCTTTCTTTCTAAATACCTATCTCAAATATACCGAAAAAGTGAAAAAGACACACTTAAAAAAAATACATTACTAAGCATTGAAGTTTATTAGGTAGGTACTGCCCTATTTCATGCATATTTTTTTAAGAAACTTATTTAAAATTTAATTATTGTGATAACAAAGTTTATTTCTCAAATTGTTTTAGTATGGTATTCGTACTTTAGGAGTTTAGTTAGTTCACATGCATTTTCTGCAAGAAAAAAGAGTCGATGACGATCATAAATCAACTGATGACTTCACAAATCCTGAATCCCGCCTGCACTTTTGCGCGCTAAATAATAATTATTTTATCCGTATGTATGATTATTTTGTATATGTATAATGATTTTATTCAAGTGTGGGAGAGCCATGCTTCGGCACGAATGGGTCGGCTCGACCGGAGTGATACCACGGCCTCAAAGAAAACCGGCGTAAAA